CAACCCGGGAAGTGCTACGAGGTACCTCATGGGTACCAAATCCGTTCGCATCCAGTCTACCCGGGTCGAGATCCCGCTCAAAAACCGCTCAAGATTTGAGCGGTCTGAGCGGTTTTCCAGCATGATTTGAGCGGTTTGGGGCGGTTTTTTTTGAAAAAACCGCTCAAACCGCTCAAATCTTGCTTAAAAAACCGCTCAAAAACCGCTCATTTCTTGCGGTGATTTTTGAACGGTTTTTCAAGCAAGATTTGAGCGGTTTTTGAGCGGTTTTTGAGCGGTCTTCCCGGGTCCAGGTCCCAAACTCATGTCCATACTTTCGCGACAAATCATTGGAATTTCGAGACTTTCCAGACCAAAATTAGGCATGTCCAGGCTTTGGCGACCAAAACATGGCATTTCCAGACTTTTGCGACCATGATGATCCGCTGCGACTATCGCGCCGAAGCAGAGGTGGCGCGACCAAAACATCGCGACTCATATTTGGTATGTCCAGACTCTCGCGACAAAGAGTTGTCATTTCCAGACTTTCGCGACCGAAAAACTAAGGCGCGACTTTCGCGACCTAGGCGGAGACGGCGCTACTTTCCAGACCGAAGTGGAGATGGCGCGACCAGAATTAAGTTCCTCGCGGTTTTTGAGCGTTTTTTCTTAGATAAACCGCTCAAAACCTTTCAAATCTTGCGCGGTCTTTGAGCGTTTTTTTTTAGATAAGCCGTTCAAAAACTGCTCAAACCGCTCATTTTTAAGCAATATTTTGAGCGTATTTGTCTAAAAAAACCGCTCAAACCGCTCAAACCTTGCGCGGTTTTTTTTAGGTAAATCGTTCAAAAACCGCTCAAACCGCTCATTTTGAAGCAAGATTTTGAGCGTAATTGTCTAAAAAAAAACCGCTCATACCGCTCAAATCTTACATATTTTCCAGTGGTTATTTTGCTCGAGCATTTGAAAAAAGTCGCTCTTATTGTTTTTGGTCAAGACATCGAAAAACATATTGCTTGATTTGAGAACGGTTAAGCACTTTATTAAGTTGTAGATAGTATTTCAACTGCATCTTAGCGTGGGTTGACCAAAAATGCTTATCCAACAATTTCCATATATGAAAAAATGCTTGTCCTGCACTTTTTTTTCCGTTTCATAGACTCAGAAAATTTTTAAAAAAAAATCCAGGATAAGCGTTTTTTCATACATAGAAATTGTAGAAAACACTTTTTTTCATATATGGAAGTTGTAGGATAAACATTTGTTTATATATGGAAATTGTTGGATAAACACGAAATTGGGAAATCGATTAACCATGTACATTTGACGAACTTAAATGGATTTTAAATCGATTTAAATCGATATTTTTGAAAATCTTAAATCAATTAAAGTGTCTGAAAAATCAATTTAAATCGATTTTGATGAATTTTCCGACACACTAAAATTGATTTTTTTTGTTAACACGGCGAAAAAACATACCCTTTGAAAAAGTTGTTCGAATTTTTTATTCTCAATTTTTTAAACATAAACACTCGTGCCAGATGTTATAGAATTCAATAAAATGATCCACATAAATCAGTTTTTAAACTCAAAAATTTGCAATAAAATCATAGAAAATCATGAAAGTAAATCAGATTTTAGGCAACAACTTATGAAACGAATCAAGAAAAGGTTCAATATAGATCAATTTTTGAACTCAAAATGTGCAAGAAAATTATTGAATTTTATCGATATTTTGGTCACTTTATTTGGTCTTTTTTATGCTACAATACGCTATAGATGTAAAATGAAAAATGATAGGCAAGAAATAAATGCAACAAAAATTTGAAACTGATACAACTCGAATAAAAAAAATCGATTTAAATCGATTTAAATCCGTTTTAATCCCCCTAGAAATAAAAACAAATTCAGACCTGGAAAAAATGCATTTAAACTGATTTAAAATCGATTTGGATCAATTTTTTTTAGCTGGGATTTAAGATCAATTTAAATCGATTTTAAATCGATCCAAATCACTCTTTATCTTTTTTCATTTAATCTTCGTACTTTTTTCATACTAAAAACGATCTAAATTTATTCAACGTACTTTTTCTATACTAAAATTGATTTAAATTTTATCAACGTACTTTTTTCATACTAAAATCGATCCTAATCCATTTTTGTCAGTGCCGGTAGGTTTAATAATTTTTAAATCATTCAAGTAAGGAACAAATTAGTTTCACTCCGGAACAAGTAGTTTCGGTAGTCTTATACAGCGCTTCCTTGGCATGTTAAAATTTTTTTCCAAAATCCAAAAAAAATATTTTGCCATAAGAAAAAACTTTAGAAAAACTTATCGTGTTTTAGGTCACTTATGTTATGCGCGCTTGTATAATTCTTTAATCATATCGCGCACAAAATAAAATATCCTTAATTTGCAAAAAAGTAATTAATTTTGTTAGTTTTAATGAAATGTGATCGGAAAACTCCGTGCAACGAGCACAGCAACAGGCTATTTGTACTAAAATTTAATTTTGATCATTCAGTGTGAAACTTCAAACTTGTGTTGTTAGTTTGGTGATTTGTATCAGATGTCTCATGATGTTCGCTGTAACAGGTAGTACTTTGCTTCTCTCCTGTCGGCAAGATGTTGCGAGTGAGGGCGCGAAGGTTTCCGGCGGTTGTGAACTGCACGTGTATCAACTGGTTCCACGAGTGGCCACAGGAGGCACTCATCAGCGTGAGCTCCATTTTCCTACAGGAGGTTGAACTCTTGACCCCTGAACTGCGGGAGAGTGTGTCCAGATTCATGGCCTATGTCCACACCAGCGTCAACAACATGAGCCAAGTATATCTAGAGGTACATAGACAGTTAAAACTGATCACACAGTCATCACTAAAACTTTTTTTGATTCACAATAGTTACACAAGGAAATACACGCTCTTTTACAGCTATGGGCATGTACAAATTGTGGCTGCTAAGCTTCTGGACCTAGTTTGTTTTGCAATCGAGTAGTAATGTCTTGAAAAATTGCGTGTGAATGTTGATAAAAGATACAATATTTGTGAGAGGATTTTCAGAACGAAAAACGTTACAATTACACGACTCCGAAGAGCTTTCTGGAGCTGATCAAACTGTATCGCTCGTTGCTTGAGAGAAAACACGCGGAGCTGCTGGGGAAGATGGAGAGGCTGGAGAATGGACTGCTGAAGTTGCAGAGCACTGCTAGTCAGGTGGACGCACTGAAGGAGAAGCTGGCATTGCAGGAGATACAGCTGGCTCAGAAGAACGACGACGCAGACAAACTCATTCTCAAGGTCAGTACTGGTACTGTTGTTGTCGTCGTTATGTCAATATGCAAAAAACGAACCATCAAGGGTGGATAGCAGAGCTAAGGATAGAACTTCTTTTAGAAATAGAAACCAAACCAATAGCACTGGCGTTAACAGAAGAATACTGCAATGAACATACAAACAAATGCGCTAAATATTATCATATCTCAAAAAATTATTGCTTGTAATAGAGCAAAATAAGGGGGGTGTAGGGATCTCTACCAAAAAATAGCACGAACATTACCTCATAAGCCAAAACAAAACCATAGTTTGAAAAAGCTATCAGTCAAAGGTTAAGCAGGGAAAACAAGAAAAAAGCTGGGTTTGGATATGTTTAAAAACTCACCAGTTTTGAGAGTAGATGAAACTAATGACATTCTACATGAAGATATGCTGAGTCAGAAAAAAAAGTTAACGGAAAGACATTCTTTGTTGGAATAAATGTAATAAGACGATTGAGGATAGAAAAAAATTACAAGAAAGTTTCCAAGCTCACTATATAATCAAGGCTTGAGACAAAGATCAACCAACGACTGCTAAATCACAGACTTGGATCGATGATTTTTTCACAAACTAGTCGAGCTCAGCTGAAACAGAAGTAACTGCAAAATCAAAGCATGATGGTGTGTGTTTCAAAATTAGAGATTTAATGAACTTTTTTTCTCCAGATCGTTTGACGATCGACGCCGCATATCAATTGAATGAAAATTTACTACAAGCAAAGAGTGAATTAAATCAAGAAAAGTAGATTATTTCCCTCTTTTTTTAAGAACCTAATGTTGGGCGTACAACCGTGTTAAAATTTGGCAGCAATGAAAAAAAGCTGTTCAAAAAAATGATTTAAAAGCTAAATAAGCTTCGAAAACTTAAAAAAAAATAGAAATGAACGAATTAAAATTCAATCAAGACAATGTAAAACATGTTTTCGGATATAATGCAGGCCAATTAAAGTAGTTCAAAATATTCAAAAATGGTCAATTCAAAATAGTCAAAAAACTTAACAACTTGTGTTTGCACTGAGCAGAGGGTACTGGAACCAGATCTAAACTGAATTATATTATTGGTTACTATTATGATAATTTATCTCTATAAAATATTGAATACTAACCAATCATGCTCCATCAACTAACAACCCACTTATTTGTAAGTGTTGAAACTACTTGTAGTTTCAACACCAGAACAATTCGAATTAAACTTTAAATACAGTTGCCTTCTCCACAGAGACCGACTCGCATATACCCGTATAGACTAGATCCATTGAGACTACGAGATATAAGAGTAAGATTAAGTTTGGTATTAGACTGTGAAGACCTATCCGGCCGAAAATAAGATAGCGTGACGAAAAGACGGTGTACCGCATATGAAATTACTCTATGAGTATTACCAAAAGGTCTTAACTCATCTGAACAAGACCTTAACCAACTTAGATCAGAAACATTAACCAAGACATTAGATTAGAAATAGATAAATATAACAGTACATGTTATATGACTGAAATCTAGCAGAAATGTCTCTACGACTCAATAGATCACCGCCAATTTTTCGAACGATGCGAGGAATACCTGGTAATGAAAGAAGACCTCGGACAGGGCGCGAAATACGATTAGGAAGAAACCTACCAATTGATTTGATGATCGTACGGCAAAAGCCAGATCAAACTTTTATATTTAGAAGACTTCCAGCAGTAAATTTAAATTGTCATTTACTGACATAAAATTTGGCGTTAAACCTAATAATTATACAATAACGACTGATTAAAACAACACTAGTCATTCTCCTTCAAAAATTGGCAGTAATTTAAAAAAATCTGGAATAAAAACATATATTGAAAATAAAGGTACAAGAATTAGTTAGTATAAAGCATAATTGTTAGTATATATAAATCATCCTTTCATCCCAGCTTTCATCCTTTCATCACCTAAAACACAACAGCAAACTTCAAAATATAACATCATCAAAACTAAAACCTGAACTCATTCATAACTTCAATTTTCATCCAAAAACTATCAAGGCCTATCCTTGCTTTCACTTAAATTATTTTATTAAAAGAAAAGATCATCAAGACTTCCCTTGGATCTTTAAAATAAGACTAACTTAAAATGAAATCTAAAAATTCTGATCAACAAGGCTTATCCTTGGATCAAATAGAACATTTTTGTTCTCCCCCTCCCCAATTTAATTAGTGTCTAACGACCTCAAACGTCGACTCACTACCCAACCCTTATTGACGACCCAGGATTAATACAAATTTTTCAGAAAAAAAAACCATTTTATTTAGAATAAGCAGTGAAGAACTTCGGTTTCTCATCCTTCACTTGATTCTCACCTCCTAAACGACCCAGGCTAAAACACCTAATTTTGGTAAGTCATAAAATAGTATCTAACGAACTACTTGAGTTCTAATTATACCTGAACCTTGTGGGTTGATTTATTATTCTCCAACCCTTGATCACAAATCATAACCCCTAAGTAAGATTAGGCAAGTCTATCTTAACTTAGAATTATTCACGAGAAAGTAACAATCATTCTCCCGAATCGATGTAAGCTTTTCTCTTCCACCCGACAGTTTATGCCCAAGTTAAGCTAACCACAAAACATTGTAGGAACGAACATTTTAATAAATTAGAAATCACTAATCCTAATTTTCATCTATCATCCTAAACCTTATGTCAAGAGACAATTTAGGTAACAAACAAACAATTGTATTACATAACTGTATAATCAACGACGGAAAATACGACCTGGTTATCACACCACACAGACAAACAATAGGATACATAAGAACAAAAAGACTAACACTAAAAAAATTCTTAGCAAACAAAAACAAATCATTAGAAAACAATTTTCGAAACGAAGAATTGCAGTCTCAGAATCAGAAACAAGCGCAATACAGGAACTTCACACTTTAAAAGACTCAGTAAACAAAAATCATCAAATTGACGATCAAATATAGTTTTCTGATTAGAAACCACATCACCAGTATCAATAAAAGGAAAACGCAGAATAAAAAAGTCCTACACAAACAAACCAATACGTTTGTGTAATTGGAATCAACCAAACAGACATATTAAAAATTTCACTAACAGTAAAAAAAAACACAGAAATGATTCGAAATGAAGAAAACCGCGAAGAAAACTTCATTCTCCCTTTTTAAATAAACCCACTAGCTATTGCTCGAGAAAAAATACAATTTTGCTAGAATTTACTCGTAAATTTATTTGAAAAAGGAGATAGCCTATGTACAAAGGATTTTCCGATGCAAAAAACAAAAGACAACTCCTTGAGCACTATCTTAAAACCATCTGTAACTTTACAATACAAAAAGGAATATATACAATAGAAATCAGTTCACCACACTCATTTAATTCGCAGATATTTAATTCAAACAGATGACGTAGATTTTGAGTTTTCAAGAGTATTCACAGAGTACATAGAAAATATACAACACCAAAAGTCACAAAGAGCGAATTCAATATTCACAAAAAATATTTTTCACTTATCTATAGCATTTTATCTATACTAGAAGTAAAAGAACCTCAGATTGAACAATCCAAACATCTCGACATACAACCGTGAGACAAGAAATCAAAATAGTTTCAAATTTTTTAAACACAATTCGCGAAAACCTAACTAGTAACGAAATAACACAACATGTTAAACACGATTTACAAAAAATCTAAGCATGGTTTATAATTCATTATTTTGTTCATAATATTGACCTCATGTCACTAGCAAAAAAAATTTTTAGATCACAAAACGCAAATGATGAAACTATATTAGCAAAACAAACAGATTAAGTTTGGCACGCAGAATGGTCTCATGATTCAATTAATATTGTACCAACAGATAAATCAAGTCAAGCAATAAGCACTATTTCTATTGGGAAAGATTATGTTAAAGTATACCCACTTACAGTTGACGCAACATCTTTAAACTATAACTCATTCTTTCCTGATAGAGCAGGAAACAATAGTTTAAACTCCACTTTTAAACTGCAAGACAACCGAAACGGAATTAGAAATCTTACACCCTAAAATATTCAAAATCCATCACATTTTGTAAAAGAAGAAATAGTTGAAACAATAACTACTAAGTCACAACAAAATATTTCACCTATTCATCCCAATCTTACAACTCCAAAAACATAAAATCCAACATTACCACAGATGACGCTGCAATCTGCACTAAAACCCTCCGTTGCTCGAAAATACTCACATATGGATTACCAAACATTTAGACCAATGACAAAAACCATTATAAAAACACTTATAATTATAAATATAATTATATATAAAGCGAGTATAATTTTAATTATGTAAGCAAATCAAAAGCACCAAAATCTTCTAACATGAATACTCAGACTTTTTCATATTCACAAAGTCAAGATAAACCACAATCGACTTCAAATTCAGTATTTTTCAATGATCAACCACGATCTACACAAGATCGCAGTGAAAAAAAAAACATTTTCCCATCATAACAAAAATAACACGAATAAAAACTATAATACAAATCGACCCCCTTATTATCTAGCTAATTATAGTCCATCAGATGATGAAGAATATTATAATCAAATTCATCAACGATTCTATACAAACCAAAGACCTCGCTCGTACAGCTTTGATTTACCAGATATTTTCGAACCATATACACGCGATGAACACGCACGACAACCAAGAAATAATCTAACGACATACCATAATATGTTTTAACCACAAAACCCAGTCAATACACGATCTTATCAACCAACTCAATTGCTTAACGAAATTTTACAAATTTTTCTCAAACACCAAACGCCGCAAAATCACTACAAATGACCATGAATCCATACCTAAAGGGTGGATCCTCAATTTTACCAAATAAACCACTAATGCTATTCACAGGGACAGATCCTGAATACTCAGTACAATATTATTAAAGTGCAGTTACAGCAATTTTAATTTTGAGTATAGGACCTGAACCAGTATATACGCCACTTCATCAAA